ACTGGGGTTGAAATGTGATCTGAAGCGTGATCTCAGGCGTGATCTGACTCTGAGGCATGATCTCAAGTTTCCTCAAGCTGCCAATGACTTGATCATAGAGTACCTGTCGTCCATTGGCTAAATGTGGCCATACGTGAGCTGCGGAAAATTCTGAGGTACAGAGCAAGTTTACCCCCCCAAGTTGCAATTTGGTGCAAAATTTGCCACACAGTACTATCATGCTCAGTGATGAATTTCTCTACATGGGCACACACAGCGTTGTCCAAGTCCAATTCCAGCCAATCGCCCAGCCCCTCCTCACGTGCTGTATCCCAGAATGATGGATCATCATGCAAAGGACATGCTTTTGGAGTGTAATCACTCTTCAATTTACCAGCCAGCAAGAGAGAACCATGGATCTTCTGATTATGGTGTATTTTGCGGCTGGACCTGAAATGAGGCCTGAAAAAACAGTGAGTTGAAGCATTGCTTGCAGTTGGAGAAGACTCGCTTGTAAGTCATCTCTTTTCTGACGTCGCCCCGCCTCAATCTATGGAAGGGCCAAAGCTCAAGCGGCTGCCCGACCCATTTGCGGCTTGACCCAAGATGAGGCCTAACAATCAGTTAGTTGAGATATTGCCTTGCACTTGGCGAATATTTACTCATGAGGCGTCTTCTTTCTATTGTTATGCCTTGTGTATGTCAATCTATCAGTACTTATCAGTCCCCCACTGATTCCTGCAGGACTCTGAGGATTCCTGAGGATTCCTGCAGGACTACACCATAATTTTGGCAAATTCGAGTTTTAGGAGAAAAATTCTGTCAAGTCCTCAGGATTCCTGAGGACTACATGACATTTAACCATCTGTGACATGTTTAAACACTTCCTCTAACTTCCCTAATGAACTTAACTCTATTTCCATCCTTAAAGCATTCAGATATCAATACATAGTAGAATTTTATTATATTTTAAATGACATGAAAATTACTTTACAAGTATACTAAAGGGAGGGGGGAAGGAGGGACAAACAGGAAGGGGGGTACAGACAGGGGTGGGAAGGAGGACAGGAAAGGGAGAACAGAGAGGAAGATAGAGAGGAAGGGAGTGGAGAGGAAGGGGGGACAGACAGAAATGGGGACAGACAGGGAGGGGGGACAGAGAGGGAGGAAGGACAGATAGGGAGGGGGGACAGATAGGGAGGAAGGACAGATAGGGAGGGGACAGACAGGAAGGAAGGATAGAAATGGAGGGGGGACATACTGGGGGTGGGCACTCATTGCCGCTCGTCGGTGGCAGCCTCGTTTGCCGTTCGTCAGCAGTGCTGGGGGGGTCGTGTCTGTCCGTCCGCGCTCGTCGTCGTCGTCC